GGAAGTACATCTACACAAGAGGACTGTGTGAATGTACTTCTCTTGTGTAGATGTATTTCCGCTGTCTGAAGGTACTTCTCTTGTGTAGATGTATTTCCACTGCGTGAATGTACTTCTCTTGTGTAGATGTATTTCCGCTGTGTGAATGTACTTCTCTTGTGTAGATGTATTTCCACTGCGTGAATGTACTTCTCTTGTGTAGATGTACTTCCGCTGTCTGAATGTACTTCTCTTGTGTAGATGTATTTCCACTGCGTGAATGTACTTCTCTTGTGTAGATGTACTTCCGCTGTCTGAATGTACTTAGTGGAAGTACATTTACACATTGAAAGTTTAACACAGCAGCAGTATATTAACAAATGGGATTTACGTTCAAACATCGGAAGTACGTTCAGACAGTTCACAAGGTAGACGTATGTTTACACATCGGAAGTACATTCAGACAGCGGAAGTACGTTCAGACACAATAACTTTCAGGTAATACTTCACATCGTTAGTCCTTCAGTCTATTGTGTATAGATAGATAGATGGATGAGTGGGTGGAAGGGTGAATGGATTGACAAACAGATAGGTAGTAGTTTACCCACTTAGATGTTGAGTCTACTTCATTAACTGTACGATGTTGAGTATACTCCATTAACTGTACGGTGTTTAGTATACTCCATTAACTGTACGGTGTTGCGTATACTCCATTAACTGTGCGGTGTTGAGTATGCTCCCTGAATTTTGTACGGTGTTGAGTCTACTTCATTAACCGTGCGGTGTTGAATGTGCTCCCGGAATTTGTACGGTGTTGAGTCTACTCCATTAACTGTGCGGTGTTGAGTATACTCAATTAACTGTGCGGTGTTGAGTCTACTTCATTAACTGTACGGTGTTGAGTCTACTCCCTTAACTGTACAGTTTTGGGTCTACTCCCTTAGCTGTAATGTTGTTGAGTCTACCCCCCTTAGCTGTAATGCTGTACGCTGGTGAATCTATCTACTCCCTTAGCTGTAGGGTGTTATGCTGAGGTTTTGTCTGTTCATTTTCAGTGCTGATAGTGTCTGTACACATCGCGCCATCTCCTGACGAATTTAGAAAACGAATATTATAAAATTGATACATTCTGAGACGAGTGCTTGTTGTTGGATGATGTAATATAGTATTTTGATATAAAACAATAACTTCATTATTGTTATGTACATACGTTATTTTGAAGGATAGTAAATAGCAGATAGCCCTCGAGTAGCTTTGCGTGAAATTCAACAAACAACAATTGCCCTTCTTTTTAAATCAGTTTTCGTTCGGATACTGTAGTTAGAGAACATACACATCATCAAAGTGTGTTTAATTTTTTGAATAATGACATAATTAGAATACAGAAATTAATCTCAATCGTCACAAGGCCTTTTTTCCAAGTTTATATTCGTGTTTATTTAAAATTAATTCGGCTTATATCTTCATTATCTTATTCTTAGGATGTATAGTGGCGCTCCCTTTGTGATGTTATTGGTTTAACAGTTTGCAAATTTATTGTTTTTATTTTTAAGTACTTTTTCGTATTTATTGAGATTAACTCTTGATTAATAAAACCATTGTCTCTTTTTTTAAGTTAGGAGGATTTTCAATATTTTTAAAATAAAAATTGATGTACGTGTTTTTATAAACCAGAGTAGTTAAAAAATAGCTTTGTCAAATAATGAATTTACATGGACGTTGTTTTAATGTGCAACATATACTTATATTACATGGATAAGAAATCCAGGGCCTCTATTCTTTAAACATTAAGTTATGTTAATCCCTGTCTCACCTTCGCAAGGCACACAACAGATGAGAACGATGACACACTCTCATTGAATGGGATGCCGCACTTTAGACTTTATAGTCTCGTTAATTAAAAAATGCAAATATATATATACTTCAAAATATATCTTGAGTAGAGTATTACTGGAAATTACCCTTCCTTGAAGTTATGCTTTTAAAATATTACGTCTAAATCAAAACGTGAAACTATTGTATCTGTTCATTCAATGTAAAACAAAATGTTGGCAACGATGTCGAAGCCGAAAATGTTATATAATTGATTTTTCTTTTCTTTTTCCATCATGACCACGTTATTGTCTCTGAGAATTTAGCTCGGGTCTCTTGAGCCAAAAAGATTAGTTACTATTGAAAAATCAGAATATATAGCTATGAGCTGACTTTGTCCTTCAGCCCCCAGTAGCACAGCGGTATGTTTGCAGACTTACAATGCTAGAAACAGGGGTTAGATAGCCGGGGTGGGCAGAGACAGGTAGCCCATTGTTTAGCTTTCTGCTTAACTACAAACAAACTTATCCATCAACTAGTCAAAGATTGGGAGCTTTTCATTATGTTTGTTTATTGTTAAGCGCAAAACTACGCAATGGGCTACCTGTGCTGCACCTACCACGGGTATTGAAACCAGATTTTAGCGTTATAAACCCACTGAGCCACTAAAAGCAGCATGGTATTGTAATTTATATATTTCACACGATATATTTCGTCTCAGATCTTCCATTCCTGCTTGGTTTAAAGTAAGAACTTACGCAAATAACTAAATAAATTATTGTTTATAATAGAATCAATTCTTTATAGAGTTACGCTCGTAAATATTTACTTTATAAAATCTTGTTAATAATCCATAGAAAATATTTGCATACATTTTAATTCAATTTTTAACTTGATATGAAGGTATTGTCACACTTTATATCTGCTGACAGTTTCATTTAAAAAATATTCATTGTATTCAACGTCTTTACCATATATCAAATTAGTTTTCATCTGACTTGTGAGAATAATTATTTGAAGATTTAATATTATAAAATATCTGCTTTCGCGAATTTATATTTCTGGTTTCGTTACACATAATCGTACATTATCAACAGAGAGCGCAACATTCGAGATGGAGGGAAATATTTGAAAACAGAGAAACGAATTTCTCTTTAAATTTAAAATGTATTTAAATTTTTATTAACTGAAACTGCTTGAATGTGGTTTTAATTTTTAAAATCTAAAATATCGTTCAGTGTGATCTAAACGTTTTGAATTCAGACCTAAATTTTCTTCAGTGTTGTCTTTTTTTTTTACCAGTCTCGGGTAAAGTAGACTGTTATTCACTTATTGCTAAGTGTTACTGTTAATAACACTAACTTGTATTTGTAACTGTAATAATAGTGTTACTAATAATATAGCACTGCCATTATTAATATTAGGGTTTGACTTCAGTAAAATTGCCAAGACTGGAGGAGTTAAAACGTTCAATGCCTGGTAAGGGTAAAAATAAAATGATAATGCAAATTAAACTACTAGTACTAAGTTATTATTGTAACAGTAATTAGGCCTGTCGTTAATAATAATAAGTGATTTTTTGAGCACAACACCAAGATATTTTTATCAACCACAGTATTAAATGTATCCCCATTTAAATTGTAACAGTAATATGAATTGTGAAAACCAACATGCATCACCTTACATTTAGGATAGTTAAACATCATCTGCCACATATTGTCTCAATGCATCAAATGATCTAAATCTCCCTGTAAATCTGCATCATCTTTGATACAGTTAGCCACCCCAAAATCTAATGTCATCTATAAACAT